ATATATAAATTATAAGATAATAATATTAAAAATAAAATATTTATAAAAAAAAAAAATAAAAAAAAAAAAAATTTTTTTTAAAAAAAAAAAAAAAAAAAAAAAAAAAAAAAAAAAAAATATATATATATATATATAAATAATACAATTGTAGATCGTTTAATTATGTAATATAAATAAAAATATATACTAACTAAAATTAGAAAGAATTAGATTTAAAATCAGTCTGAAAATTTTTTGTATTAAAAAAAATATACATATTCTGAATAAATTCTAGACATTTTCATTGACATTTTTTGGACATTTTTTTTTATAGGGAATACATATTCCGGATATAAATTTTAATACATAATCCAGACATTTTCTGTATTAGAAAAATAGACAAATAATTTTAATACAAATTCTGAACATATTCTGTATTAAAAAAAAATTAAATTTCTTTCTGTATATATTCTAGACATTTCTAAATGTTTGAATAAGTCTGAACAGCAAGCTTGATCATTTTTTAGGACAAATAATAGTTATTTTTCAGATATTCTCTGATATACCTGAATAGATTCAGAATATTTTTGATGATATTTTCTGGATATTTATTTTTTTATAGAAATTCAAATATTTTTTACTCTTTATAATAAAATAAAATAAGTAGGGATGGATTGATCCTGATAAGACTAGTCTTAGACCAGTTAATGGAACCAGTCTTTGCAGCACTCTGTACTTATTCTTAGGTTCAATTCAGACTGGTCCTTTATTATATAAAGTATAAATTGAGGAATTATTTTATAAAATACTAAATAAATAGTTTTATTCATAAAATAAGAGTTAGATCAACCCGGTTTATACCTTGGATCTGTCCTAATATTTTACTGTAATGATAATATCTGAAATGAAAACATCAGAAATGGAGAAATAACGAGATTAATAAGGTACAGTAATCATTTGTATGTAATTATTATTATTATTTATTAAATTGATCATTGAATATTTATATATCAGTTGAATATTTTTCTAATTGTTCTAAACTGATCCTTGAAGCAGTCTTATAAATCGGTTTGATTCAAAAAGGAAACAAACCCTAGACCGGACTGGACTGGTAAGACTGAATGGTACAAGACCAGTTTTAGGACCGAAGGAAGATGAAAGACCGGTCTTTTCAAACTGGTCTAACCCTAAAAATAAGCAATTGGATTTTTTTTGGTTTAAAACTAATGGCATTAGTTAGTATAGATTAACTTCAATCAACTTGATAAATTTTATTAGGTTTAAATTTTCCGATTTCTGTAGACGTGGTGAGGATAGACTAGCTTCAAGAAGGATGAATACAAATATTTGTATATAGTGTTTTGTAATAAATATTTGCTTTATCTCCAATTATTACTAGACTAGTTCATATACAGAGGGTCGCCAAAAGTCTCCAAACGCTTTTTGGCACAATAAATCATATCATTTAAAAATTTTAAAATTTAATAAAATAAATTATTAAATAATTATTAAAAATGCCATGATAAAATAAATTGCGTACTTATTAATTAGTACTTGGTCAGGCCTCCATTTCTTCAATTACAGCCTGAATTCGTTGTGGCATACTATCGACCAAATATTTTGATAGTATGTATGGAAATTTATCTCCATGACTTCTTAATACGCCGCTCTAGTTCAAGCAATGTTAGAAGGCATTTTTTTCCTTTCACGGATACTTTTCTTGACATCAGCCCACAGATTTTCAATCGGGTTGATGTCTGGACTTGATCGGGATCATTTTCTGCATGAAAATTCTTCGCCTGCTTCATTTTGTGTGGTCGAGAATTATCCTCCTGAAAACTACCATCACCATTTGGAAATGCATTTTAAAGTCCGATTCATGTAAACAAGGTTCGAAACATCATATGACCGCAGTATTGCTAAGTCACATGAAATTGCCGATATTGAATCGCTTCTAAAAAGTGGTATTCGGAGACTTTTAGCGGCCCTCTGTAGGACATATTGGTTTTAATTATTTTAAATCATTCAATAATATTCATGCTTGCATTTTAAAATCAATATTTGACCCATTGGTTCTTGACAAGTCATTTATTCTGCAATAGCAACAGTATATGTTGTAAAGGTTTTGTCGAAGATGTATCGAATACTTAATTAAATAAGGAATAATTTATATATTTATTTGCAGTTCATCAGAAATAATTAATTGGTTAAGAGATTAGGAATATAATAACAGTGTAGTGCTATGGTACTTAAATAAAAACAATTCCAAAATAAATATAATATTAAATAAATAATAAGATTATTATAATTGCAGAATATATTTTGAACGAAAAATATCAAATTTATTTGAAGAATTTTTTTCTTAAGGTTAAAAAAGGAAAGAAAATGTCAAATATTAAAACATTTATTTTAAGATTTTTAATTGCTAGAGTTTATTTAAGAACCCCTTTTATATTAATTGATATAATTTGATTTTTCGTCCTAGCGAATAGAAATAATTTGGATTAGAATATCGATATATCATAATTTAAATTTCTTTCATCCTCAAAGATGGTAGTCATGTAAGTAGTTTTATATAATAACCACTAGATTTTATGTCAAATAAAACTTACAGCAGGTGTTTCTTTTTCAGGTATATCTTTTCCTTGTGCTTCTTTTTCAGCCTTTTCGCGATTTTCGGCTTCAGCGGCTAATATTACATAGATTTTGTTAGCAAAGATTAATAATAATGCATAATAAAAATTTTGTACACGCACCACATAAATCTCTTAATTTTTTTCTCATTTTTTGTTTAGAAAACTTTTTAATGTACGAGATTTAAGATTTGTTTAGCGTTTTTACGACCCATTTTTACTTATTTTGAGAAAAAAAAATTTGTGATTTTATTTTACCATGTGTTTTATGTAAACAAATACTTTGTGTAATTCACGTGTTTATATGTAAACCACTGATCCAGATTTAAATAGGTATAATTTCCTAATAAGTAAAGTTGGAACAAATTTTTAAACGTCAAAATACAAGTTCTTTAGCGATCAAAGCTTTAAATGTTCTTTACTAGGAAGAAACAAGAACTAGCCAATATTACGCTATGGCACGGATTCCAAATTTCCAATTTGGCATAATTTATTTGTTATTTTTTGATATTGTTAATATTTGCGAAAAATATTTTTTTGTCATTTTGAAAATATGATTCCTTGAATTCAATTTATTATATTTTATTAACATTTATTTTTATAACAAAGAAGACTTTACTTTATGAATAGCCTGTTCCTTATTTATATTACATAACTTTGAATAATAAAAAAAAAATAAAATTTGGAATTTCGACTTATTCAAATCGAATTGTATCTAATAATAATTAATTCACATACCATTAATTCAAGGTTAACGATTTGGGTAGATCGCTCAAAAATCCTTTTTCATTTCTATTTTTTTTTTTTAGCTACGTATTAATATAATGCTAACAAGACCTTAGTTTGTCTTATGAGATAGCTAACAATTAAATTTTGAGCATCTAACTTGAAAGCGTTGAAATTTAAGCATGTCAATTCATTAAAAATTAATTATTCAGGTAAAATTAATCAAATAGTTATATTAAATGGATTCAAGAAATTGCTTTAATAATTGCATATTTAATATAAAATAAACAAATTATAAAGGATTATTGCAAGTAAGCTAAAAATAGACAAATTCAACTAAATATAAATTCTCCAATATCAAGAAAATGATTTTTTTTTATTATAAGAACGCAATATAGTATTTCGAAAGCATTATTAAATTTTTATAACATAATATATCAATCCAATTATGAAAAAAGGTTAAAAAAACAAAAAAAGAAAAAAGCATGGCAGAAAAGTATTTTCATTCCACAGCCAACGTTTAGGCCACCTTATAAAAAAAAATATAAATTAACAATAATTAAATAAAAATTAAATAATTTAATGAATGTAAAGCCCTGCAAATTCAACGCCAAAATTTTTCATCCTGCATCCCCTCCTACATTAAATAAAAATTATAGTAAGAATTAATAACAGAGACCCAATAAACATAGCCAATAATCAACTTACTTCGACTCCCACTGACGTCTGTTTCACCAAAAAATATTCTCGTGATTGGGTTGGCTATTTCTTTGAGCGTTCCTTGTTTATTTTCATATTCCTCCTTACTCGCCTCTTGGTTACTTACAAGCCATGCAATAGTTTCTTGAATTGCATCGTTGAGTCGGTTAGGAATATATAGTTTCTATCAAATAGGGATATCCAAATTTAGAATATCTATATACTGTATCATAATTCAAATGTCAAATAGAACTTACATTTACATCAAGTTTGTTACGTAAGTTAAATACGTAACTACCCAATTCATTTCGTGAAATGATCCTTTGCTCTTCTTTCTCAAGCTCTTCGCGATGTTTTGCTTCGGTGACTATAATTACATTGATTTGTTACTAAATTTAATGCATAAAAAACTTGGTTAATAATTTTGTAAAACTCACCACCATTTTTGAAATCCCTTAAATATTTTTTCATCGTTTGACGATGAAATCTTTTCACGGTACGACTATTTTGAGGGGTTTTGGCATTTTTACGTCCCATATTTTACTTTGAGAAAAAAAAATTTGGCGTTGTAATTAATATTGATAAAATTTATTTATATGTGTAAATCACGTGTTTGTATAAGTCAGATTTTAGAAATAACGTCACGTGATAAGTACTTCATTTATTACATGGGGTTTAGGATAATAACCTAAACCCGGAGTCTAGGATAAATTGCAACTTTAAAATAAAAAAAATTCCAATAAAGAAAAAGAAAGTAATTAGTTGTGTATATACAGTACATAAAAAAAATAATTCCCTGAAAATAACCGATTATATACTAAATTTTGTAAAGACAAATTGGCCAGAGACAATATGCCTGGAGGACGGTTTGGCATGTAGACAATTTGTCCAGGCTTACGGAACATTTTGGCCGGAGGGCAAATTGATCTACAAAGCCTAACGAACAAATGATAGAAAACTTTCACATTAAAATTATTTTCTTTGCGAGTCGTGTAAGTTCACGCCCAAATCTTTATCGTTAAATATAAAATTTAGTAAAATTTAGTGGTGATCATTGGTAAAAAAGGGAAATAAAAAAAAATGAGTTAATGCTAAATCTGAACATATTTTGCCATATTTGGCATAATTTTATGACAAATAAGCAACTTGGACATTGATAAATTAGTACTTATTGAATATATACAAAGTATTTTTTATATGATAAAATCCAAATTTTGTTAACAAATAAAAAAAAATGTTCGTAAAATAATCTTATTTCTTGTTGTATAAAAAGTAGTGGTGAGTGTTACAGTTTTATTTATTATAACTACGAAGGAGGATGTATACCTTAACCTGCGCGTTTCCGTCCCGACTTTGTCACTATGTATGAAGCTACAATGGAAGGTGAAACCCTCAAGATTCGTGGTTGTCACATAACATATACTCGCTTAGTAGAAGGCGCCTATACTAAACCATTTTTTTGTTTCCAGATATTTATCATAAATCTCAAAAAGATTATTGTGCGGAATACAGCTTCGTGAACTAAACTGTAAGGTAAAAAAAATTTTTTTTCGTCATCTTTATTAGGCATAAGAATTTATTTTTCAGATGAAATAGCATTCCAGTTATTCTGAAATATCATAAAACTATAAAATAAAATATTTCTTTTTCTGTTCTTTCCTTCGCAGGTTCCATACTTCTTGGCGTTTACGAAAAGTTTACCAATTCGTTTATCCTTAAAAAATTTTTATTTTAAGGCGGATTTATGCTTATAGCAAGGAATTTCATCAAACAAATATGGCAGTCCCGATCTTAACATTAGAGAATCTATGATTATCAGCAAGACTAACGTAGATGAGGCTGTGAATAAGGTCGCCGGGCAAAACCCGTTTCGACAGGCATCGAAGTCTGAACCCATCGAATATGGCAAAGGAAGTTGAATGATCACCCAGGGAACGTATTGAGAAGAAAGAAGGTTTACTTTTTATCTCTAGAGGTTTCATCTTTTTTTTCAAAATAACGTCAAACTTATATTTGTTAGATTACGCATCTTTCACTTTTAGACATTTAGTCAAAATTCCTCTCCTTATAAAACTGAATAAAACTATAATAAGAAAAACTAGAAAAAAAATCAGTTGTTGACAAATAATGGCTCATATCGACACCAATAGTAGCAACCGTTAACAACATCAACTGATGAGAGAGTTATGATGACACACTCCGCAGTCTACAAAATCGAAGGAGCTTTCGTAAAAGGTAAGCAAAGTTTTTAATTTTTAAATTTCAAACGCTAAATAAAAATTTTATTTTATGCAAGCATGCTAATTTGACAAAACTATTTTCACACCAGTGGAGAGATGGATCCAAAAAAAAGGAATGAGCATTTAGCAGAAGCAACTCCAGTATAGCGAAAGAAATGCCTAAAGAACTAACAAGATAAGCTATAAAAGGTAAAGATGTCGTGGCGGAGTCAGCAATCACACTGTAATAATGGCTTTACAGAATTAGAAATTAGAAAGGGATAGAATAATTGCTAGAAAGGAGTTATATTTGGTTCCAAAACTTCGAAACAAAATTCCTGCAAAAAATTAACCATTTCATAAATTTTTTTATTTTTTTTTTTACTGCAGAAAAAGAAGATTCGCCATCATATGAGAAGAAACTGCACCAGTCGAGATGAAAGAATAAGTGTAGAGCCATCTTCAATTAGGATCCACCGGTTGGGAGGTGATACATTCAAGAACTCACAAGAATCAGTAACGTCATCCAGCCGTACAGTATTCATTCCGAAACGGCATATTTGACGATATGTTCAAGTTCAACTGCATATAACCGATTTTCGAATTCATGTTTAAGTGGATTTCTATGATTGAAACAATTAGAAATCGTGAACAATTGAGAATGCCATATACAAGGTGGAGCTTTGATATGGTATGTTTAATATGCAAGCTACATTAAAATTTAGTTTTGAAATTCCTTATCATAATAAATGCAAAAAAAAACATAATTTTATTCTTGCCGCATTAGGAGCAACAGGCAGTGACACAAAATTCATATGTTTCGTTTATTTAAGTATTCTGGGACTTGAAATTTTCGGTAATGAAAATCTACTATTCGTCAACATGTGCGCTACAATTAATTCCGGACGAATTCCGGCCATTTTTGATGGGGACGCAGGGGAAGTCCAGCAACAGGAGGTTCACCAACTTCATATAAACGAAAACTGCGAATTTTTTTTTGATGCAACCATTTAGACGCATCCCACCTATTCCAAGACCCAAATCCGAATCCCAAATTTCTATAATTGATGAATAAATCTGAAAAGAAAAAGAAAAATTAAGAATTAAAAAGATAAAAATAAAGCGAAAATTAGATTAATTTTTT